GTGCTAAAATTTCTAATTTATTGGAACATTGGGTCAGTTAAATTATAAAACATGAAGTAAAGTTCTTTTTTATTTAATTGTTGCATTTTAAATGTATTTATTTATTTGTCAATTTATATATTTCTCCTTTTATTTCTAATTATGTCAGTTTTGGTCCTCCATATGTGCTAGGCCCTTATTTATAAAATGCAAAAACTTAAAACAAATTAGCTTTTTTCMATTGTGAAGAGGCCTGAACATCACACTCTGCATGTTGAGTGCAGGCTGAGGTCAGTGCTGCTGCATACCATAGAGGCAGCTTCACATCAGGTTCAGAGTTGGACTGGAATGTTTTTCTGGCTCATCGGAAGCTGATTCTGATCTCCTCTGACATGCTGCCTCAGTTGGCTTGGATTGGCACTCTTCTCTTATTTTCTCTCTCTCTCTTTCTCACTTTCACCTGATCAGCTGATTACAGAGAAGACGACCTTCTACCTGACTGCTGACTCACCTAATATCCTGGAGGAGTGGATCAGAGTTCTGCAGAACATACTCAAAGTCCAGGCCAGCAGCCCTGTTACTGTGGAGACCAGGCAAAAACCCACCGTGAGAGGGTGGCTTACAAAGGTCAGAAGTTTTGATTTATCATTTTAACAGATCTTAACAGAAAAAAATCCTGCCTTATGCATACCTTTGTGTAGCTGTAAGAAATATACAGTAGATTTTCATCTTGAATGTCTCTTCCAGTCACAGACAATTCATTGAAAAAACACTGATATCCCATGCACTTTTCCATATTTTATCACGTTACAACCCACAGGGCTCAACACACGGGCAGCGACAAACTACAGTGATTAACGGCTGTCATCGCAGCCAGGGTGAAACCCGACACACGGGACGRGATAGCGATCGCAGCGTTGCGAATCGCGCTCTCAGTTCGCTTGTCTTCACAAAATTTGATTGGTTCTTGACTCTGAAGGTGGGTGTGCATTATGGACGTGTAAACTAAACAAATCTTGCAATGCTAATGATTTTGAAAAACAAACACACATCAAGATACATTTTTATGAGGAAAAACTTACCATAAACTTCACCCTGGTGCCAATAAATCAAAAAGCTAGCCAGGGTGAAGTTTATGGTAAGTTTTTCCTCATAAAATTGTATCTTGATGTGTGTTTGTTTTTCAATATCATTAGCATCGCAAGATTTGTTTAGTTTACATGTCTGTAATGCACACCCGCCTTCAGAGTCAAGAACCAATCAAATTTTGTGAAGACAAGCGATCTGAGAGCGCGATTTGTAATGCTGCGATCGCTATCGCGTCCCGTGTGTCGGGTTTCACCCTGGCTGCGATGACAGCCGCTAATCGCTGTAGTTTGTCGCTGCCTGTGTGTCGAACCCTTTACAGTGCACAAACTTCAAAATATTTTACTGACAGGGCATATATTTGAAATAATATACCAATACAAAGTAGTGAATTCTGAAGAGGTAGGAAAGTGATCTGTGGTTTTCAACGTATTTTACTAATAAAAATCTGAAAAGTGTGACATTTGTACATGTATTCAGCCCCACTGAGGGACATACATGTATACTGTATACTGACTTTCAGAAATCCTTAAATTTCACAACTAATCTGCAGTACTCTCCCATAAAACAGAGCACAGGGATACACGTTTTGCTGGGAGAATTTTAGGGTTTGTTGCTATCAGCTTTGCACATCTAAATCCCCTAATTCTTCTTCACTAAAGCTCAGTCAGTGGATGGAGAGCATTTGTAAACTACAATTTTCAAAACTTGCCACATACAGTATTTTCAGTTGAATTTACGTCTGGACCATTCTAACACATAAATATGCTTTGATCTGACCCATTCCACTGTAGCACTGACTGGATATTTTAGGCCATTGTCCTGCTGAATCTCCACCCCAGTCTCAAGTCTTTTGCATCCCATTGACTATAACCAGCTTCCCAGTCCCTGCTGAAGAAAAGCATCCCCACAGCACGATGCAACATCAGCATGAACAACGACATTTTTCCATGAAGGACAGATTTGTGGAATTCATGAATAATAGCTGTCTGTGGACAGATTGTCCTACCTGAGCTGAGAATCTTAGCAGATCCTGCAGAGTTACCATGGGGCTTCTTGGCTGTTACTAAGATTAATGCTTTTCTTGCTCCATCCACGGCCATGTCTCGGTAGGGTTACAGTTATCCTAAACTCTTCCTATATTCAAATGATGGACTGAAAGTTTGCATGTTCAAATCACGTTAGGGTCACCACATTAAAATATAGCACTCCATTARGTGTTTACAAGAAAAGAGAAATATCAACAACACTTGACAGTTTGAATGTTAAAAGACTCATACAACCACCACAGTGCTGGATTGATAGTTTATTTCTCAAGTCTGCAATCGGCCCCCACATCAGGAAATGCATCCATATTTAACACCTTCTTCCAGACCTGACTCCACCTACAGAACTCCTATAAATTTCAGAGTTGCTCAAAGCTCACCCTGCTTTAAACTTCTCAACATCTTTCTCCTCGACCCATCTGATGTGTTCCTTGGTCTTCCTGAGGTTATTTGATCACCTTTTTTCTGTAACAAACCACTGACGCCTTCACAGAACAGCTGGATTTGAACTGAAATCAGATTAGACACGAGTGGACTCTATTTAATAATTAGGTGACTTCTGAATGCGATTAGTTACAGGATTTTATTTTAAGGGATCAGAGTAAATGACAATAATGAACTACCTGAAAATTTTGGATGTTTACATACTTTAAGAAGGTACTGCATACCGAGAAATACTTTCCTCTTGAAAAGTTTCATGTTCGGACACAGATCAGAGCTGCTGGAATGCTACAGAGCCTCTGTTAAAACAGACATATCCGAAGGGTGTGTATGATGGATCTATGGCAGACGAATGACAGCCTCAAGTTGTGATGACGGGGCTCACACCCCTATAACACCCCCACAGACTATTCCAGTGAGCTGGCTTTGATCTGACATGATAGTGGTTCAGACATGGGATGTCCTGCCTGTGAGACATCAGTAACCATGGGGACTCCTGCAAAGGAACACCCCTCATCTGGAAGGCATCTTTGCTCCTTTCAGTGACATCAGCGCTCCATTTCAGCACCTCTTATGGAGAAGTCCTTCACAAAAGGAGATGTGTAAATATTATCTCCAGCTGCTTGTCTGGATTATGTTGAGAGCAAAAAGGGAGCTGAGGGGTTGACGAAGCTTTTTGGTTTGGTAGGAATTAGRTCTTGCAGTGTTTTCAACACTGAAAACTAATCTTTGGTGATTTACGCACCTGCAGACACACTGTTGGGATGTCTGCAGATTATATGGAACATTTCTTGATTAACGCTTGTTATTAAAATAAACCTGATCAAGAATGGTGAAAAATATAATCTCCGTTCTTCTTTGACTTTAAAGCCAGTATCTCATGTGACTGGGACTGTCACTTGAGTTTTGAACACGTTCAAAAGATTTGTGCAGCAAGTTTTCAATAAAAATAATCACTGTGTTGTTGCAGGGGTCTTGAACCTGTCTCAGTTACCTGCTCCAATGATCTTTTAAGACAAAACAAAAAAACTAGATTATGTATATCGATCACTGCCTTTCAGGCCATAATTTAGGACTTAGAAAAATCAATGTAAATTGTCATCATCTGCTCGATGTGGATCAATATCATATGCCCATCTTACACAGTCATTGTTATAGTTGGGCTTTTTATATGGCATTGTATTGTTCACAGACTTGTGAATTGAAATGAATCAAAATCGAATTGTGACAGACATTGTGATATTGAGAAATTAAAAATCAGCATCCAAACAAATTGATATAAAATTGTATTGTGATCAGTCTAGTGATTTACACCCCTAGCCATGACCTGACTCTGAAACAAGCAGTAGAGGATGGATGGATGGATGGATGGATGGATGGATGGATGGATGGATGGATGGATGGATGGATGGATGGATGGATGGATGGAACTGAAAATTAGCTTTTTTTCACTCACATTTTTGAGTCTCAACAGCGGGAGCTCGGTGAGATACTGCCTGTAGAGAAGCACCCACGTTGCTCATGTTGTTTCTTTTCTTATCCAGGTCAAACATGGACACTCAAAGCTGGTGTGGTGCTCTTTGGTTGGAAAAGTCTTCTGCTACTATCGCAACCAGGAGGACAAGGTTATTTTAGCTTTGCCTCGTTTTCTTTGGATTTATTCTTTTCTTTTGAAAATGTCTGCTACTAGCTGGATGTATCAATCTGTACAAAAGCCAATACGTATCTGCAACCAGAGCTCGGTTTTGCTTAATAGTGCTACTTTTTCTGTTTCAGCTGCCTCTGGGTCAGCTGCAGATGCGAGAAGCTTTGGTGCAGGAGGTCGATCGCTCCTGCGATTCAGACGAGGACTATGAGGCAGGCAGTCGAGGTTTCCTCTCCTCCCACTGCACTTTAGTGGTCCAACCAAAAGATCAGAGTCCTACATATCTGCTCATTGGCACCAAGCAAGAGAAGGTAACAGAAAAGGGAGTGTCTAAGCAAAAGATGATCTGGCCATTGTTTTTCCTTGTGTATAACTTGGAACAAAAAGTAAGAAAATGTTTTTAGTAGATTCTTTTTTGGTTGTAACCATGCTTCTTGGCAATTAATCTACCATTGGAAAGTCTGTTAATTTTCCTTTTAAATAGTGCCACATTTGTAAGGAACATGCATTTGTGGGATGAGCAGTAGAGTTAAGTATGTGGTTTGTGCACTTGCAAAATCGCCAAATCTTCTCTTTAATAGCTGTTGCTATTGACCTTTGTTTTGAGCYTCTGGTACCCCCAGGTGCTGCCAAACATGATTTATTGCCAAGAAGCACTGTTACAACAAAGAAATGATTAAACACAAATTTCCTTATTTTTGTGCTTAGTTTAGTTGTTTGTTATTTTATTTATTAATTTTTTTGGTTCAAAGGATACATGGTTGTATCATTTGACCGTGGCAGCTGGTTGCAGTGCAAACCTCAAAGTTGGCACAGAGTACGAGCAGCTCATTGGTAAACTCCTTGATGCAGAACGAACCCCAGGTAAGAGAAACATACAGTATTTTACAATGAAAAGTCTCATATTTCTTGAAAATATATACAGTACGTATATTGTCTGCCTTCTTTTGTATTTGAGATTTACTGTACATAAGAATACATTCATCGTATGTTGAGAAATGACAGAACTGTAACTGTTTGGGTCAAACAGTGAAAATAAAGCTGTGCTCAAACTTAAACAATATTACGAGATTTCAAGCTCAAAATATGTGTTATGAATGACTCTCAGCTACTACCACAGCAAAGTTTAGCTCAATATCGGGGAGTGGTGGCACAGAGGTGGAGAAGATGATTCTGTGATCGAAAGGTTGCCAGTTCAACTCCCCCAAACCAACCAGCCCCACCTTTGGCCCCTGAGCAAGGCCCTTAACCCCTCAGCTGCTCCCCGGGCACTATAATTGGCAGCCCACTGCTCCACATGTGTGTTCACATGTACGATGGGTAAAAATGCAGAGAGTTAATTTCCCCTCTGCGGGACAATAAAGGCTAATTAAAAAAAATATCTGTAAAATTGACATTAGTCATTTTTGTGTTGGTTAATGACTCCAACCAATGCTGTAGAAACACATTCAATTGATTGCTTTCAGAGATTTTCATCAAAACCCATCCAGTGTCACACAAGATATTTTGCTGACAGAGGGACTTTAACATTTATTGCTAAAGTTTTAGGCAAAAATCCTGCACTAATAGAGCTCACTCTAAGGCTAAAAAATAAAAAAGCCTCGCACTAGCAGAGGACCGAGTAAATGTCATTTACCTGGTACGCTTCGCAATGTAAATAATATGGAGCCATCTTTATAACAATATTTTTTTCAATTTATAAAAAAACGCAGAGCCTACATTAGTTTCGCAGTCTTTGTTGTACAGTTGAGGTAGATGTTTATCAAATGTCTAATGTTACATCTAGTCAGGGTTCCTTTAAAATGTTTTTTGTTACATTTTGTTACACTCGTGTATGAATGTTTAGAGTAGATCAAATCTTATGTGCAGAAGAAGTTTGAAACTTTTCAGATGCACAGTATTTGTATTTTTGGAGTGTATTTTAATATTCTGTTTTTCGACTTTCTACTAGATGAAACTGAAAATGCATTTGCAACATTTGGACAAATGCAACTGAAGTATTTACACACTTGAATTTATTCAAGTGCAAACAGATTTACTTAGCAGCGCGTAAAGTGTTATTTTAATCCTCACTGTGTGTCAGCTCCGGTTCTAGACGGTGTTTATGACTGTGGAGCCGTCAGTTGTTGACTCATTACAGCTTTGAAACTCAGTCTCTGTTTTGTGTATGTTTCTGTGTACAAAATGTGTTCTTCTTTTCTCAGAGAGTGAGCTGTGGAAGAGCAAGGCCTTGAGCTTCTGTAAGGAGGGTCTGTGCTTGCCTCTCACCACTCTCCCATCTGAAGCGCTGCAGACTGAAGCTCTCAAGCTTTTCAAGGTCTGTCTGCAAACGTCTCACGCCTCCCTTAGCAAAAAGTAGTATTTGCAAGTATCCATTAAGTATACTAATTTTAAACTGAAAATAAAAAAGTATACTTCCAGTTTACTTTTTATGTACCTATCTGAGATATACTTAACCAAGTTTATCTTACACTATACTTGGCTTTTAGTATAAGCCAAGTATAGTGTGAGATATATTAACCAAGTTTATCTTACACTGTACTTGGCTTTTACTAAAAGTTTAAGTATACTTAGTTTATACTAATGTTTAAACTTTTGGTCAAGATAAACTTTAGTAGTACACTTTTCATACAGACTGGTTTATTTGTAGCATATTTCAAGATTAAACTAAAACTATACTTAGATTACTTTCAGTATACTTCTGAGTATACTTTCATAAACTTTGTGGGCCAATTTAGTCCTAGAAGTATATTTGTTAGTAAACTGCTACTACACTTATATCAGTTTACATGGTAATTAAAAATACACTTAGGGAAATACACTTTTATATACTTCAGTATACTGACATGTACTTAAAGTATACTTCTTTAAGTACAGTAAAGTAAAGTATACTTTTCTTAAGTGTATAAACTTAAAAAGACATCAGTATACTTAAAGTATACTTTTTAAAAACTTAAAAATGTCCCAATTTAGTACGAACAAGTTTTATATCAATATACTTTCTAGTACACTACAAGTACATGGTGCCTAGTATACTTGAAATACTTAAACTTATACCCAAGTATACTTATTAAAATGAACTTCAAGTATACTACTTTTTGCTACTTTTCATTTCTTTCTGTCACTCTCTGAATGACCATGCACTGCAAAAACTGTCCATCTTACCAAGTTTTAAAATCTTATATCAGCCAAAAAGTCTTTTTGATCTTGTTTTG